TTAAGAGTTGAATTATGTTTGGAGAGAAGCTAAATTAAATTCAAGAAATTTCCTTGACCAGACTGAGGACATTGTGTGATGAGATCGCTAGGGGTTTCGTGGGAACCACGAAAAGAAAGACATTTTGTTGCTAGATATAATACTTCATCCATAACTATATGCAGGATCTGTCTCCATTTTTCTTTTTCGGTTTGAATTACTCGCTCAATGTCTTGATCAATACCCTGGCATGATTTAATTTGTTGAACTCGAGTTTTCCACTTAATCATACACTCTTTGTGCATTTGAGATGCCTCGTGCTCGATTAATCTCTCATAAGGTTTTTTCCAATTAATAAATCCTGTAGAACACAATGCAGATGTACCGAAAGAGGAAGATTTCTGAAAAATCTTGCAGCATGCACAAAAAAAATTGCATTTTTACTTTCCTATCTGTATACAGATATAAGGAAAGTATAGGAATCATGATTTTTTTCGACCTCGAGTTTTCGACGGTTTTTTACGTTTTGAGGTCCCCTGAATCCGTTTTGACTATTTTCGCGATGATGTCTGTGTGTGTGTCTGTGTGTGTGTGTGTGTGTGTGTGTGTGTGTGTGTGTGTGTGTGTGTGTGTGTGTGTGTGTGTGTGTGTGTGTGTGTGTGTGTGTGTGTGTGTGTGTGTGTGTGTGTGTGTGTGTGTGTGTGTGTGTGTGTGTGTGTGTGTGTGTGTGTGTGTGTGTGTGTGTGTGTGTGTGTGTGTGTGTGTGTGTGTGTGTGTGTGTGTGTGTGTGTGTGTGTGTGTGTGTGTGTGTGTGTGTGTGTGTGTGTGTGTGTGTGTGTGTGTGTGTGTGTGTGTGTGTGTGTGTGTGTGTGTGTGTGTGTGTGTGTGTGTGTGTGTGTGTGTGTGTGTGTGTGTGTGTGTGTGTGTGTGTGTGTGTGTGTGTGTGTGTGTGTGTGTGTGTGTGTGTGTGTGTGTGTGTGTGTGTGTGTGTGTGTGTGTGTGTGTGTGTGTGTGTGTGTGTGTGTGTGTGTGTGTGTGTGTGTGTGTGTGTGTGTGTGTGTGTGTGTGTGTGTGTGTGTGTGTGTGTGTGTGTGTGTGTGTGTGTGTGTGTGTGTGTGTGTGTGTGTGTGTGTGTGTGTGTGTGTGTGTGTGTGTGTGTGTGTGTGTGTGTGTGTGTGTGTGTGTGTGTGTGTGTGTGTGTGTGTGTGTGTGTGTGTGTGTGTGTGTGTGTGTGTGTGTGTGTGTGTGTGTGTGTGTGTGTGTGTGTGTGTGTGTGTGTGTGTGTGTGTGTGTGTGTGTGTGTGTGTGTGTGTGTGTGTGTGTGTGTGTGTGTGTGTGTGTGTGTGTGTGTGTGTGTGTGTGTGTGTGTGTGTGTGTGTGTGTGTGTGTGTGTGTGTGTGTGTGTGTGTGTGTGTGTGTGTGTGTGTGTGTGTGTGTGTGTGTGTGTGTGTGTGTGTGTGTGTGTGTGTGTGTGTGTGTGTGTGTGTGTGTGTGTGTGTGTGTGTGTGTGTGTGTGTGTGTGTGTGTGTGTGTGTGTGTGTGTGTGTGTGTGTGTGTGTGTGTGTGTGTGTGTGTGTGTGTGTGTGTGTGTGTGTGTGTGTGTGTGTGTGTGTGTGTGTGTGTGTGTGTGTGTGTGTGTGTGTGTGTGTGTGTGTGTGTGTGTGTGTGTGTGTGTGTGTGTGTGTGTGTGTGTGTGTGTGTGTGTGTGTGTGTGTGTGTGTGTGTGTGTGTGTGTGTGTGTGTGTGTGTGTGTGTGTGTGTGTGTGTGTGTGTGTGTGTGTGTGTGTGTGTGTGTCTGTATAACGCATAACTCATGAACCGATACACAGAAAAACACCAAATTTTAAACTTAAGCTTTGTTTGAGCGTCCAATGAGCTGATTAGATTTTGGGCAGTGTCGGAACATCTGGGGGGGTACTTTATAGGTGGTCATTTTTATATTTTATGGAATATATCTGTTATTTACGTTTGGAGAAGAAAATTCTTCAAATAAAAGTTACTTCTAATATAATTATCTATAATTTTTGTTTTATGCAAAATTTTCCTAAAATGGTCCGTATTCGAGAAATTTGACAAAATGTAAAAAACATAATTTTTTATAAAAATTGTTCAAATAAAAGTTGTTTGTAATATAATTCTCTATAATTTTTGTCCTATACATAATTTCTCTAAAATGGACCGTATTCGAGATATTTGAGAAAATGTGTAAATTTCGAAATTTGAAGAAAACTCAAAAACGGATAAAGGAAAAAACATTCAATTTTAAACTTAAGGTTTATTTCGGCCTGACGTGAAATGATTAGATTTTGGACAAAGTCGGAACATCTGGGGGGATACTTTATGGGAGGCCGTTTTTATATTTTATGGAATATATCTGTTATTTATGTTTGGAGAAGAAAATTGTTCAAATAAAAGTTACTTCTAATATTATTATCTATAATTTTTGCTTTATGTCAAAATTTCCTGAAATGGTCCGTATTCGAGAAATTTGACAAAATGTGCAAAATTCTGATTTTTATGAAAATTGTTGAACTAAAAGTTGTTTGCGATATCGATTTCTATAATTTTTGTTTATACATGATTTTTCTAAAATGGACCGTAATGGAAAAGTGCTAAATTTAAATTTTTCTGTATTTTCGTTTTCAATGAATATCTATAGAAAAATGTTTCGAGGTAGATGTATGTGTAAAATGTATATATTTAGTTTATCCTCTAAACATTTATAGAGATGCTGCAATAGGTTGTACAAAATAACCGGAAAATGCCTATAATAACTAGATAGGAAAGTCATGTGTTGGACACATCAGATTTTTTGTTTTAGTTGTATATTCTAGATCTTTTGCTTTTCGTCATTGGTCAATGTTTTGTACCACATAGCAGATATTAAATGTCTACCATCGCGTTCAGTTGATTTAAATTGAATGTTTTCTGGATGACTTTCTGCTAATAACACAGCTTGAGTAGTAAAGAAAGATCGTTGCTGGTCGGTCATTTTTTCAATGTCTGGCCAATTCCCCGGGTCTATCAAATCAATTTCGGTTTTCCATTCATTCGAATCCGAGTGATCCGATTCAGATTCTTTGTATTCTGTCTCAATTCTTTCAAATTGTTCTTGCACTCTCGCAGTTTGGCTAGACGATGCAGGTGATAAATTTTGATCATCAGGATCGTGCCAAGTGCAAGAAATATCCTCTAATTGAACATCTTCGCGAGCTGTGGCAGGTACTGACGGGCCACCGTCTCCGCTGAGCCACTTTTTCATCTTTTCCGCATATTGTTTTCCCTGAAGGACTCATTATTTTTTCTATATTCCGCTCCCGATAGTTTCAACCCATAAAACATAAATTTGATATGTTGAACACAGTGTGAAAAATATGTATTGTAATGACTTTGTAAACTTCATTCTTTGCAAAACTCAAAGATACGCGTTTCATTCCGCAAAATTGCATTCGGTGTACAATACTTGTTTTTCCTAACCCAACCTCATATACCAATTTTCATGACAAAATTCATATTTTTAATTTTTTTATTATTTTGATCTATACACAAAAATGATTTTTTTCTCTCCTTAATTTGATATTTAGTGTGCCTTGAAAATTAACTTTTTAACAGTGTTAAATGTCAGTCATTTTATAGTTTTTTAAAATACCAATAACTTTAAAAGAAAAAATCGAAATAATTTGATTGTTAGGCGATCATACTTCTATAATTTTTTTTGTTACTACACATACACCCAGATAAGGCTAATTAATTTTTTCTTTTTCTTACCTTTTTTATTTCTCACTATTTATATATGAGATATAATAAAAACAGTAACAGTGAACACAGATAACATCCACAAAAATATATAGGCAATAAAAACACGTTCAGCAAACACAAAGTACCAATAACTTCAAGAACAAACTTTTTCAAAAATGAAAAGCACAATAAATTTAGATTGTAGCTTTATTCCTTTATATATTATCCTAATTGCAGGTAGTTAACTACTGCTTTCTAGTTTCCACAAATCAGATATTTGTTTTTCCCAAAGGAAGAATCATTCTAAAGTCATTAAAAGGATTTCTTACTAAAAGAATTATGGATTATGACAGGTAGTACAAAAGGTGCTTAATATGCTTAACAGGTATTTAATTTTGGGAATTTTTAAAGCTAATACCGTTTTAAAATCACTCAACGTTTTGGGCAATTGAAAATATATCCGATTATGTATTAAGCAGGTAATAAGACCCAATAAACACTTGACCTGTTTTGCACAGATAAAATTCAAATAAATTTTGATTATCTATGAACTGATTTCAAAACCCTATTTATGAAAAAAAAAAAATATTTTACTATTTGCGCCCTCTGAATTTGCCGCCCGGGGCACGGGGTAAGGCTTGCCCGTCCCCCCCCCCTAGATCCGGGGCTGCACTTACAGGGATAATACAGTTGGTTGTACAAAATAACCGGAAAAAGCATGTACTAATTAAATAGCAAAATCGTGTATCAGATTTTTAAAATAAAATGATTTGTGAATGAAATAGTATACAAACCTTGGTGGAAATATATCGTTTCGGCAATGATGCATTTCTAGCCGTTATGCAATCTACTATATTTTTGAATTATACAAATATAACATCCAGTCGTTTTCTTCAAAATTAATTTTGTGGTAATGTATGAAATTATTTATGTTTTGGCACAATTTTAAATCAATTTCTTAAATCATTTTGTAATGCAAAACTTTTTAATTTATTTATTTTTTTAATAAATATTTATACATTAAAACATTATTAAAAAAATAAGATTTTTTTTTAAATCGATAATCATATTACCAAAAAAGCAATGCATTGAAACTCATCTCTAAACAAAATATAAAAAGGGAAAGTGACAGAGTCGGTTTATAGATCCGAAATTAATTAAAAACAAGTACGAAAATTTAGGAATAAATTCCTTAACCACCAAGCGTGAAAATAAAACAAAGAAAAATTTAAATTTGAATGGAAACGCATTTTTTACATTTAATTCAAATAATATTTACTTAGGTTGCTGCGAAGTCATATCAGAAAAAGATTTAACCACGATCAAGCTTATGTCCGAAATATGCAATACCATCATACAGAAAGACGAGACAAATCCTCTAACCAACAAAGAACTGATTTCCAAATGCCAAAACGCCGTTTTGGATACATGCGGCATTGACATTTCCGCTGTGCTACAAGAACAAGTTAGATTAGGACATACCACTAAGCAGATACTACAAGAGATAAGGTCCTTAAACGGATCTTTGTGTTTAAAATACAATTTTGGAGTAGCCACTTGGAAATTAGGAGTACCCCATCGCGTCACTGTTAAAGTGTCACCTTCTTACAGTAAGCAAGACGTTTTTGAGGTTGATTAATTTGTTGTGCACTAACTAATCTTGTTTGGATTTACTAATATAAATATAGGTACTGCAATTAACACGTTCCCTGCCACCTCGGACTTAAGGACCAAAACACCATTAAAAGCTCTTTCAATTAGACCGATATACAATTTATCTCTAGCTCTAACTTGGTTCATAAGACCGTGATCATTTTTTAGATCCACAGCGCCGTCGATTTATTATACTAAGTGACATAGAAAACAGAATACCTAGTATTAATAAATTTATTAGAATGTCTATTTGTTTAAGTTAGGATGAAAAAACGATCAGTTTTTCGACCATATCGATAGAGTGGTTGTTGTGTTATCGTCTGTTCTCACAAAAAGTAAGTAAGTATGCGATGATTGTGTTTTGTAGTTATAATTCGCATTTGATCGGCGTACAATACATTGTGAAGAGCTGCTTTAATTTATTTAGCTTAGATGAGAACATTTTCAACTTCTAAGCGAGTTTGATAGGGGGCGAATAGTGGGATTACGGGAGGCAGGTTTGTCCTTTATTTATTTAATTTTTTATTTGATAAAGCTTTACAGAAACTAAATTCCAAATGGCTTACAGAAATTGTATACAAAAATTAAAAAGATATAAAAGTACAACTAACGATATACATTAGGGTGGAGTGAAAAAAAAAATAATATTATTTTTTACTATATAATACCTAAGAAGTTGCCTCTACATATATTAAGCTATTTTCTGAAGTCTCAATTTAAAAAAAGGCTTCAGGGCTCTAGCTCTCATCAACAATTTTAAAAATAAAAAAAATTCTTATTTTTTTAACTTTTAATTCAAACTGAAAGTTGCCTTTACTTATAGTAAACTATTTCCTAAAATTTCAGTTAAAAATAAATATGTCTTCAGACCTCTATCTTTCATCAAATTGAAAATAAAATACATAAAATTCTAGTAAAAAACATAAACGAGATGCACCTATTCACATGTTCCTGGCATCATTAATAAACAAATCCAAAAAATTCCAAATATCTCACGAAACTCTTCAAACTTGTTCAATCTAGTTAAGACCAGTTTATAATTGTTTATGCACGGCTAATTGTGTAGCTGAACTCAGTCTTCTATTGATAGTTGCGGAAGTAAGATCTTTGTTTTAAGTTTTAAGTTTGTCAGTGAAGCAGTGAAGGACACTAGGGCCAGTAGGGGAGCTACTAATCGTCCTATATTTGGTGCACCAGCGAATATACCTTCTAATGTTTTGCCAACTGTGGAAAATATCATGAAGCGATATTTGCTTATTCGAAATGAACTCAAGGTTTTGAGCTTCCTCCGGTAAAAACCGTAGTATTTTAGAAATTTCTCAAATTCTTCAAAAAGCTTCAATTCCCACTATATCGAAAAATCGCACTATACAATTAATTCGAGATATCCTGGGTAAGTACCAAACCCTTATTAGATATCCTAAAACTAAACGAAATGACAATTATAAGTTAAAAGTTGAGAAATATAAAGATGATTCAAAGAAATTATTCGATATTGTTGCATGTAAATGTGCTTCTTTTGATACATGTTGCTGTGTTAAAAGACGCAAAATACAAAATATAGAGCAATATAATTTATACACGATCAACAGCTGTGAGAAAATTTGTTATTGGAAAAATAGACGTTACTGAAACAAACTAAAAGCCAAAAAGAAAAAAAAAATAAGATCAAGGCGTATGCAAATCAGCTTCCTTTTAAGTTTGAAGTAGACAATGACAACATTGAAAACTTTAAGCAAGACAGTATTTCTTATTCATCTGAGTCTGAGATGTCGGTGGAGCTTGAGAATTTGACAGAAAAACAGGAAACTAAGTCGGAGCTTCCATTACCATCAGGTTGCAGTACAAGCCAGCAAATGAGATTGCCTATTCCCAACCTAGCTCGTATTGCTGACCAATTTGGCATTTCGGACCGTTCTGCACCAGCGCTTGCATCTGCTGTATTACAGGATTTGGGACTTATTTCGAAAGAAACATCGTGTTCAGTTATTGACCGAAGTAAGGTCCGAAGAGCTCGTCAAAAACACCGTTTTGATTTAAAAAGCGAATTCCAAACATCCACTCCGGAGATTAGATCATTATATTTCGATGGAAGAAAGGATAAAACGATGTGCCAGGAAGAAATTAGAAACAAATTTCATCGCAAAATAAAAATTGAAGAACATATATCATTGCTCAAAGAACCAGGTTCAAAATATATGGGTCACATTACACCAACAACAGCTACGGGGAAACATATTGCCATATCTATAGTTAATTTTTTACAAAAATTTAACATCAGTACAAATAAGCTTTTAGTAGTAGGCTGCGATGGTACAGCGGTTAATACAAGAAGGAAGAATACAATTTTGCGGCATTTAGAAACAAAACTGAAACGTCATCTGCAGTGGATGATATGTCAGCTACATATGAATGAACTGCCTCTTCGTTATATTTTTCAATATCATTACGGCGAAACTTCAGGACCTCGTGTATACTCTGGAGCTATAATAAAAATGTTGGAGTCTTGCGAAAAATTGCTCGTTGTAAATTTTGTTCCTATTGTTAGCCCTTTCTTAGCACTGATCAAAAGTACTAATATGAAATGTGTCACTCAATTTCTAGAGGAAACTGTTCATTAGATCTAGCAGCTCGTAATCCAGGTAAATTTATCACACGCACGATGGCTTACAAAGGCAAACCGTATATTGCGTCTTTACATCGGAAGTAAGTTTCCGTATTCGCTCCGTGCGAAGTCATGGAAAGGGAAGCAAAAGCGATACTAGCGCTAGCTGCGGATAATTCCTGCATTTTAGGGCGATATTTTGTAATTTTGGCATATCAAATACATGTATACATTTTACTTTTTTTCAAAAAAGTAGGCAAAAACAATACAATAAGCAACCGGAGTTGCTGTGTTGAAAATTGTACAAATACTAGCAAAAAAACAGTGGAACTTATATAAATAAATTTCAGTAGCAAAGTGGACATTAAATCAAAGAAATAAATGGATAGGTGTACAATAAGAAGAAAAATTACCTTTATTTTTGTAATAATAACAGTAATGCTGAAAATAGTAGACTTCAGAAACTTGAAAGGTTTTAAATAAACAATAAATTATCATTTTACGATGTTCTTTAATATCCCTATATTCTTAAATGTTCATTCAGCAAGGACTAGATTTCAAGATTTCTGCCTTTGATTATGTGACTGGAATCACATACTTTGATTTTCTTTTACTATACGGAGAATGGTCGCACTACGCAGCTTTCTGAGTGCCTTTTAAAAGGAGATAGAAAACTCCGCCATTTTGAACCCTTATTACGTGTTGCCTACATCTTGGCGCAATATTTTTAATAGGTGCGTTTTAATCATCCGCTTCTGCTTCGGAATTGTCGGTTTTCTTGTTTTAATCTGACAGGTTAAAACGACTAAACCGACAATTCCGGAAGCAGAAGCGGTAAACGCGTCTGATATTTTGCTTGCTGCTGTCAGTGTCAGTGAATATTATTTTTGAAGTCACAGTTTATTGCTAAAGAATCAGTTAGCTCACTCGGACCAGTTGAAAGTTCCAAAATAACATCCACTCCAGGGATACAAATTCAGGATACGCAGAAGACTGCTGTTTTATTATAGGCGGTTGTCATATATTGTATTATCCGAGTTGCACAGTGTATAAACTGAAACATTAAGATAAAAAGTGCCGACGCAGAGTGAGCGATCTGATTCTTCAACTGTAAACTGTGTCACAGGGTTCAAAATGGCCGCGCCCTATGGTGGGCGTGTCGGACCTCTCTCTTGCCTCATATAGTAATCAAAGTATGTGACTGGAATGCAATTTTGTGACTTACTGATGGGAAACCAGTTTTAATCATTCATTCTATGTTTTCTTTCGAACAAAAATGAAAATATACATAACGATCCTTTTTTATATATTTTAACTTCACGCTATTATTAAATGGTAAATTTTTTATTTTGAAAGAATAAACTAATTCTTCAAATGACAACTTTTTAGACTTAGGCAACTTCTCATACATTTTCCAGTAAATACTGTTGCCTGCCTATATTTTATGCTTTATTTTTATTGATTATACATCATTTTCTTCAATTTAAGCTGTAAAAATATATAATAATAATAATAAATTAATGTTTTATTGTATTACAAATCCATATACTTTTATTAAAACTAACATATATACTTTTTATTTACGAATTCTATTAAAAAATGTATTTGTCAGTATACGCAGAAATAGTCCATTAGTACCAAAACGAATTAGCGCTGCTGTCGCGCACGGAGCGAATACAAATTTAAGAACAATCGCTGAATTTGTGATAAAAATTTATGCGCCAGTGTGGTCTGACATTAAGAGAAAACCATCATGTTGTGATGTAGGAAGACAGTCTTCAGAATGATACAGTTGTCACGCTACTTGAACAACGAATTGAAGGCAGTCATCGATCCTGTTATCAAATGAAATGCGTATTTTTGTCATCCTGAGAACCTTATTCTAGCAATGCTTTCTGATGATCGTCCTGCTATAAGACAACTTGGCTTACGAAGAATTTTAAGGCGCGCACAAAAATATCTACAGACGTAAGGGCATTTGTCAGGGTTGGCATATAATTTTCCCATATTGATAAAAACCACTATTATTAGATTTTTTTGGGTTTTTTCAAAAATAGCAAATTTTCAGTTGAATGAACGTCATATACATATAATTATTTCTGAATAAAAACAAAAATTAGCATAATTAACATGAAGTAAGTAGTAGGTGAATACAAAAAGAGAATAACAGAAACTATAGAGAAATAAAAATATAAACAAGTTTTTTGTTAAACAAAGCATATTAGTTATCAGGAAAATCAGAAATCGGAATCTGTATTTTCGTCACATTCCCATTCCTTAGACTTGGTTCTTAAATGATTATATATTTTTGCAGCTCTATCGGCATCTAATCTGTTATGAAGCTGGACATGAGAACAAAGATAACATATAAG